AGCCGACGAGTCGGGTCCGGGTTCGAATTTTCGACCCGTTTATCTACCTGGGTCGGATTAGCTAGGGTTGACCCGTTTGCACTCGGGTCAGTTCACGGGTCAGTTCAGGTTCGACCTGAACCCGACCCATGACCCAAAATTGACACCCTACATGTAGCTGACCCCATGTATTGTTGTTGTAGTTGTTGTCTCTTTAATTGCTCGCCACCATCAACGATCATTCTACTTGGCCAAAATATCTCTTAAAATCACCAAATATTCCATGATAAGATGATTCCAATTTTAACTTATCAACTAACCATTGAAGTAGAAGCCAACTTTGACTTGCACATGAACCACTCTCTTAATTATGAACATCCATTATGATTGTCAAAGTCACGCTATACCCATAGTAATGACCTAAGCCTTATTGATGTTTATCAACATTGACTTCTTACTTGTTTAATGTCTTTTTAGAAACAACCTTAATTATCTTGATATCCTTCAAGGTCAACTTCTCAATGAATTTAGCCTAATTGGAGGGTTTATTTGATGTGACTTCCTTTTAGTTGAAATTTTCCTAATGGGCCATCAGTTTGGTACGTGATAGAGCTTTCCCTTGAGCACCTTCTTATGATCATTCAATATTTATATATTTCATTGAACATTTGAACTTAGCAGCAACTTCAATAGCTTTGATAGCTTTGCATAATGATGCCTCACAAAACCTCTTTTAAATAACCTTAGAAATATGCTAACTCTAAAGACATTCTAACCTCCTCAACTTATTAAAACACTGAAGATCAACAATCATAGTTTAGAGCTTTTAACATTGTAAATGAAGAATAATTAAATAGTTCTTATGTCTAACCTTATAATTGATATTTTTAAGTTTTTGAATAATGATAAATTAATTGTCAAGTGTCATATATATAATTACCTTAATTTAAGAAATTAAAAAATTATCAAATTGTACCAAAACCTTCCATATGTAATAATTCACTCATGTCAAAGTAGATTATGTAAAATTATTCTCAAATTCTTTTTAATTTCTTATGAAGTGCAATAAAATTTTGAAGCTAATGCACACCTAAAATAGCTTGGGTCCGAATGTTCAGGTTAGTTGATAAGCCTACACTAAATTCTACAATTTGTAATTTTTAACCAACTTAACTAACTCATAACTTGATAAACTTAGAAATCAGATATGGACTTGAGTAATCTATTATTATTCATATACAAAGAAAAATAAGTTCTAGCCAACACTTAATGCTTCATTAATATTAAACTAGCTAGAATCCTCACTTATCAAGTATACTCTCACACTAAGTAGGGGTTCCTGATAAGTCTTGTTTAGGGATCTTACTAGATAATTACTTTAGAGGTATCCACCCTTCTTGCAATACTCAATCAAAATTACTACCTAACAGGTAACTACCAGCCTAACACGCCTTTTATAAGAATATGTAGTACTATATAATTTATGTACTCTTTAGTTTTTTTAGTCCATCGCATGCTATTGACTCGAGTAATCTTTAATTTTTTTAGTATCTTCATCTCCTAAGACTCGTGGGACTCGATTAAAGGAGGATATGAGGAACTAGATGATCAAGAAACATTGATGGCATGCCAACAAGCAAAGTAAGAGGAGTTCAAGGATAACCAAAAGACTAATGAAAAGGTATTGTTATTCATCCAACAAGAGGTCTTTCTAATTAAGAATGCATGGGAAATTCTTAAAAGAGAGATTTAAGTAATTGAAAAGTTTCTCTCAATCAGGTTACAATTCTTGTGACTTCATTTTGATCATTTATATATGAAAGAGTTGGAGCATTAAAAATTTCTTCATTGAAGCTATTGGAATTATTAATCAAATTAGAAGCTATGGAGATATAATTCAAGAAAAGAGAATTATTGAAAAAAAAATTAAGAAGCTTGTATGTTAGATTGATCACATCATTGTTATAATCAAAAAGTTGAAGGATTTATCCAGTACTCTCACTTTGTATGGACTAAGTGGGCTTTCTTGAGGTGCATGAACAAAGGATAAGCAAATTCTTTGCTTTAACTTTTGAGCAAGTATTTTAGTTTAAGCTTGCATTTGGAGAAAAATAATCACCAATTTCACAACATGAAGGGAACCAAAGAAAAAGTAAGAGGAAAATAGCCATATAATAACTTTCAAGGTAAAGGCAAAGGCCAAAAAGAAAATTTCTATCAAAGAAATGATAATCCTAATCCTAATCTATATTTTATTTGCAAAAAATGAAAGCCTTTGTTTAAAGATATTATAGAAATAGATGACGGACGGATTGCAAAATTCCTAATCACACTAAAAGAGATTGTTGGAATGAGAGAGAGAGAGAGAGAGAGAGAGAGAGAGAGAGAGAGAGAGAATCAAGTAAAATTTGCAATGGATTATATTATATGAGCACACATCAAGAATTATATATATATATATATATGGTGGTTGCGATTCTTATATCAAAAGTGATCTATAACTCTTAAGCTTGACCAAAGTTTTCTCTTCTCAAGTCAATCTGGGTGATAAAAATATACATGAAAGCTTTTTTCGGATAGCTTTCTAAGAATTTTTTAAATAAGCTTTCTAGTGCAAAAATTTGAATTCAAAAAATTTTCTAAAATTTTTGTACTAGAAAATTACTTTAGAAAGCAGTCAAAAGATTGTCCCACATGAAGTTGAAGTCAACGATAAAGGTTCGTTATAGTTTACATAAATGGAGGTATGAAAAGACGTTTGTTATGTTCTCTTTGTATCATGTTGAATTCAAAACTTGTTAACAATGTTTCAATTGTTAAAATATGGCTATCTAATTATTTTTCATGACGATGAATGCAAAATCTAGGACAAAGATAAGAAAACTTCTATCATAAAAGTGAAAATGACTAAAAAATAAAGTCATTCCATTTGTTATGCCAACTGAGTATTCTTTAGTTTCTCAAAACAGAAGTATTTTAGATGTGATAATATTAATTATAAAATGCCTTCACTCTTCACCATTAATCTTAAATTCAATAATTTAATTGAAAACTAAATTGATAAACAATAATTTTTTTTAGGGCTGATTAGGGTGGTGAGTTCATCTATACTTAATTCATTTATTGTAAAGAGCAAGGCTTAAGAAAAAGAACTTATCATACAACATATGCTACAATAAAAAGGAATTTCATCACATTGGGTGGAATTTCTTATAATCACCCAAGAAAAAAAAGATAGATCTAAGATATTGGGAAAGCTATTTGAGGTGGATCATCGTTCATTCAAATTTAGCTCAATATATTAGTAGAAGGATATCAGCTGGCCCACAATTTTAAGATGATGGATAAGACTCATTAATACATAAGAGTTTCTACTTTTGCTTTAGATTTTATTTTGAGACAACTTTTTTATTGCTGTCTAAAGTAAATTTTTAGTAAAAATTTTTAGTTTATTTTTTTAAAATAAAAAACACTTAAGAAAATAGTAAGAAAATTATCTTAAATAAAATCTTAATTATGAATGCCAACATCAATTGCTTCTAATTATAATTATAAGTGAAATATAACCACTTCTAATTTCTCGGTGCATTGATTGCAGGTACAATGCAAGCTAATTAATTCCAACGTGCAATATTAAATATCCAATGAGATATATAGTTTCTTTTTTATTTTGTGTTGTATTTATGCTATTAATCTATATTATTTTGTATAATTGTATTAATAATTAACCCAACATCAAAAGAAACTAATACTAAGCAATATACTAAATGAATAGATTCAACCTACAAAGAAATTAAAATTTAGCTTATCCAATAAATCCTCTTAACGAAAAGATCCAATGTAAAACTCAAAAGCTACGTACAATTAATCTAGCTTCTCATCTTGGATTTCGCTTAAGACAGCCTTAACAAGCTGCGATTAAGCAAAACTTTATACTCATTCACGTATCAAAGAACTGTTGTTTCATGCAAATGAACAAGATTAAACAATCATTCCCTCTTAATTAATTGATCTGAAGCTCCTAATTAACGATTAATTGATGGTTAAATATTTATTCTCTTACTTTAAACGAGGGAGGCTTCATATCATACACAACTGCCTCTTGATAGCAGCAGCATAACTAAATACAAGGAATTAATAATTAAGTATTCAACCACCGGTTGTTGGATTGATAGGATCATTAGGTTTATATACCTAATTAAGTAATCGGATATTGAAAAATAACGCTCAGATTTCCTGAACCAATTTTAAATGAAAGTGTTAGCTCAAGGTGTCCTAATCAAGGAGAATATGAACATCATAAAATAGGCTATAATTACACATATTTTTATATATTATATTAATCTAAAAACAATATATATCAAATGATGAGATTATCCTCTCTTTGGATATCTTGAGCTAACTTTTTTTCTTCATGATGCATGGATATATATGGGTCTACTTCCTAAGTTTTGCGAAGGTATGTAAGAATGCAATGCACTCTTTCATTCACTCTCGTGTTACTATTTCAAAGAGAAAACATGCGAGGAAAGAGAAAGGATGATCCATGAGGAAGGACGAGCCACCTATATATATACATACGAATTTCACTCGTGTTATCTTGGTCTCTCTCTCTCTCTCTCTCTCTCTCTCTCTCTCTCTCTTATATAAATATAATAAAGTAGAATTAAACAATTAAATCCACCTACAAAACTCCATATTGCTATCCCGTCGGTTGCTATATTACCATGCAAGAGTGACAGAAGAAACATGACAATGCGTTCTTTTGTCGCCAATTCCACCCACCTAACTTAACCAACATCCCCGTCGGGTCCCCTCAATGCTCTAAACCATATGGTAAGGCAAGGGAGATGAAAAAAAAATAAAGGAAATTAACCTAATGTTAATTTACTTAACACCATTTATAATTTCATATAGGGATAATTAGCTCAGCATCACACCATGTATAAGAGATTATCGATCGATCTAAATCAAAATAGCTCAAAAAAATAATGAAATAATATGAGGAAATGATTCAGTACCAGTGAGCTCATGAAGGGATTGCTCGATCTCGCGGCAAGCCATGACAGCCTCCACTGCGTGTACTCTGACGTGCTGCTGTAGCTGCTCCTTGAACGAGCACAATAATAGCGAATACTGCATCTTCATCAATATATGTATACAGTAGAATTAATTTGCATGAATTAAGGAAGAAATTATATGCGTGAATTGATGAAGAGGAAGGAATAGGATATATAAATTCTAAAAAAATTAAGAACTTTTTTGGATTTAAATAGTATGTATCGAAATCTGAATGTGTGGAGAGTGATAATGAAGAGAATACTAACGAGGAAATTGTCGAGGTCGAGTTTTTCCTGCGGGGAAAGAAGGGGGCGGTGGAGGGAGGCGTAGGAGCGGAGAAGGTGGTGGGATTGGGAGAGTTGGGCGTCGATGAGGGGTAGATGGTCGATGGGGGTGGCGACGCGAAGGCAGCCGACGTGGGCTGAGAGAAGCTGTTCTAAGAACGGGTGTACTGAAATCTCAGCTTTGAGAAGACGGCGGTGCTCCTCCTCTGCGGCGGCTGAAGGCGGTACGGAGGAGGAGCACTCACCTACTGCTGCTGCTGTGGAGATATGCATACCCAGGTCTTGGTGGGGGTCTCCCTGCATCATCTTGGATGAAGGGAGATTTGGAGATCGACCAGTTGCTATTGAAATATATGGTGATGGAGATAGAGGGCCACGGCAGGGGTCTTCTTTATGCGGTGGTTGTGAGAGGAAGATAAAGAGAAAGAGAGAGAGAGAGTGAGAGAGAGAGAGATGTTGGTCTCAGGAACCTTTTTAGAAGGGTCCCTTCCTTCCCTGCCCAGAAGAAAAGGAGAGAGAGAGAGAGAGAGAGAGAGAGAGAGAGGCAATTGGGATAACGAGGAGGAAGATTGTTGCAAGGAGTAGAAATGAAGAGCACATGTGAAAGAAGGAAGGTGGGCGATGGTAATCGAAATTCGTTTAAAAAGGAACCTACAGAATCGTCATGATGGAGTTTCCTTTTTCTTTTTTGGTTTTATTATGATTGTTTTTTTTTTTTCTCTTTAATGAGAAGAGATAAAACTGAATGGACAGAGTTAGAGAGAGCGCGCGCGAAGGGGTGGGGAGGAAAATAGTGAGAAAAAACCGGTTGAGGATATTGAGGAGTGATTTTGGAGTAAAAATCTTATAGGCTCTGTTTTATTTGAAAGAATTTGAGAGAAAGCTAAGACTTTTATATAATTATATCACACTTTTATTAATGAGCAAACTAAATTATTTAGAAATTGAGAATAATTTATTTTTATTTGAATATTCTTTATCCACATCACAATGAAAATGGGAAAGAGAAAAAAATGTAATTAGTATATCTCATATATATCTTATTTATTAAAAAAATTCAAAATTTTATAAATAAATAAGAAATTAAGAGACTATACTTCGGCTTTATTTGGAAAGACTTTCTTACTACTTAAAAGAAGCTATTTTAGCTAAAAAATTTATTTATTTACTAAAAAATTATTTTAAATAATAAAAAAGCTGTTTCAAATGAAACATTAGTTTCTCCTTAGCCAAATTAGTAGGTTAAAGTAATTTTGAATTACAAACTTTTTTTATTATAATTTTTGTTTTCAATTTTTTTCAAAAAAAAAGAAAAAAAAAGAGAGATAAGGAATTCATTTCTGTAAGGAATACCCGATTAAATCTTACTTTAGGATTGTTGAAATTAGTGACTTTTTTTCTCATGGATTTTATTCTAAAGTAAAATCTATGGTGGTTGGTCTTGCTTATTGGAATTTAAGTAAATTTTTTTATAGGATCGTTTTTTCAAAGAGCTATTTTAAATTACTTTTGAGTTACAATAATGTACATGTATTTGTTAGTTCTAAGCTCACTTCTTTCAAACAAAATTTGCATTGATTTTTTGCTTGGGCTACAATAAATTCTAATTATATCCACTATCACATTAATTTTTGTTGATTTTATATTTGTATACTTGTATATATATCTTCTGATATTCAATAGGTAATTTGTTGGTCATAACAAATGAACTCATATCTTATGGACCCACAAGATAAGAGAGTAAATAAATGACCTGATATGCTAACTCGACTCAAATCCAACCCAAAAGAATTCGGGTTCAGTTTGACCCGTTTAAATAACAGGTTTAGTTCAGGTTATGCATTTTTACCCGTTTATTAAATAGGTTGGATTTGAGTTGATTCAAAAATGACACATTTGATAATTTTTTTCTTAAATTCTTTTATTTATTGATATAAAATTCTTATTTTTAATCAATTAATTAAAATTGATTATTAGGTAAAGTTTGGGTTATTAGAGTGCCAAGTTCGATGACTTATATTTATTAAATAGGTTGATTCTGAATTCTACCCATTGATCTGTTTTGACCCATCTGTCATAAGAAAACTCGCCCAAAGACTACAAGACCCAACTTGACAGAGCACTCAGGATGACGGATCTAACATCGAGAGGGCCCACACGGACTTTATGGGTTAAGTCTTTGCTAGTTGGAAATGTAGTGAGCAGTGATTCTTTAATTTAATGAGAAATGTTTGTCTTTATCATAGCTAAATAAAAAATAATTAGTATTACAATTCAAATGCTAATTAACTAAGAAAATAAAATTCTTTTATAGTAAATTTAAAAAAATTACAGAATTAGCCCAAGATAAGCTTTATCCATGGGAGGGAAAGGAGCGTCGGCCAAGGAACGCTATCAACCTTCTTTCGCGTTTCATGTTTTGTCGCCGCTATCTTATCTCTATTTTATTTGCTAATATGATAAATTATTGGGTTCTAATTGTTATTGGTTCTCTGTAATGATAAGAGTGACTTTAAGTGGGTTCTGATTATGTCATTTTTGCACCATCTTTAATTTAATATTGCAATGTGGTAAGAAATTTTATAAAATAATATTTTTTGTTCCTAATAAAATAATACGGTAAGAAATTATTCTGAACTTCCTGTAAGTGTCAGTGGGGGCGATCTATTCTACTGACGTAGCAATCACGGATTAAACCGAACCTGGCATGAAACTTCAAATCAGGGGTTTTTAAACCCGGCCCGGCCGTGGAGTTATTGGTTTATACGATTTTGTTATTTAATTTTGGTTTTAATTATAATTATTTTTAAAACTCATTGTTGTGGGGTAGCATATATGCACCGATAGAGTTATAATCACACGTCTTAACGTTGTATGGATATCCAGCTCGCACACAGAGAACATGAGATTGTTTACATGAAAAACCTTGGAATGAGAAAAAACATGGGTCATGGCCCAGTTGAAAATGATTCCACTAAAATCTTAGTAGATTACAACAAGCTGACTCGTCTTTGTGCGATCAGATTACAAATGCCAACCGTATGGTTGAAATCTAACGACAAATGATGATGAAGGTTTGACATTACTTAGTGGTCCGTCGGAAGTCCGGCTTTACTTAGAAATTCAGGCGTTTGGTAGCGGTCTGGCAGAACACCGAGTGTCAGGTGATGGTTTGGATGAACTCCGAGTGTCAAGTGGAGCTCCGAGCATCAATAGATGGTTCAACGGAACTCAGGGTGTCAAGAGGTGGTTCTGTGGAGCTCAAGGGTATTTGGTGGTGGTCCTGTGGAACTCCGGGCGTCAGGTGGTGGTTCGACGGAGCTCAGGGCCTTAGGTGTGGTCCAACGGAACTCAGTGCCTCAGATGGTGGTCCGGCAGAGCTTAGGGCTCAAGTGGTGGTTTGAAGAAACTCTAGACGGTGGTCAAGGAGGTAAGGAGGCAAGAGCGATCTCCGATCCCTCTATTTTCTCCTTAAGTTTTGGGGTCTATTTTCAAAAGGAAATGAGGCTCTATTTATAGATTTCTTGGAGTGGTATGACCAATAAATAGGTGGAAGATCAAGGGTAAATGAGAAGTGGTTGCATGGGCGATTGATATTGAATACCTTGATCGTGGACCGTTTGATGGACATTTGAATGTCTTGATGATATTAGAATTTAGTGATCTTGGGTTCGTTGGATTCAACTCGTCGAGCCGCTCGATTTGGTTATAAGCATGTCACAATTGAAAACCATTTATTAATCCAAATTGTGATTTAAACTCTCCAATAATTGTTATTGGTTCTCTGTAATGATAAGAGTGACTTTAAGTGGGTTCTGATTATGTCATTTTTGCACCATCTTTAATTTAATATTGCAATGTGGTAAGAAATTTTATAAAATAATATTTTTTGTTCCTAATAAAATAATACGGTAAGAAATTATTCTGAACTTCCTGTAAGTGTCAGTGGGGGCGATCTATTCTACTGACGTAGTAATCACGGATTAAACCGAACCTGGCATGAAACTTCAAATCAGGGGGGTTTTTAAACCCGGCCCGGCCGTGGAGTTATTGGTTTATACGATTTTGTTATTTAATTTTGGTTTTAATTATAATTATTTTTAATACTTATTGTTGTGGGCTAGAATATATGTGCCGATAGAGTTATAATCACACGTCTTAGCATTGTATGGATATCCAGCTCACACATAGAGAATATGAGATTTTTTACATGAAAAACCCTGGAATGAGAAAAAACATGGGACCTGTCCCAGTTGAAAATGATTACAGTAAAATTTTAGTAGATTACAACAAGCTGACTCCTCTTTGAGTGCGATCAGATTAAAAATGCCAACTGTATGGTTGAAATCTAACAACAAATGGTGATGAAGGTTTGGCATTACTTAGTGGTCTGTCGGAAGTCCGGCGATACTTAGAAATTCAGGCGTTTGGTAGTGGTATGGCAGAACACCGGGTGTCAGGTGATGGTTTCGCGGAACTCCGAGCATCAGGTGGAGCTCCGAGCATCAATAGATGGTTCAACGGAACTCAGGGTGTCAAGAGGTGGTCCTGCGGAGCTCAAGGGCGTTTGGTGGTGGTCCTGTGGAACTCCGGGCATCAGGTGGTGGTCCGGCAAAAGTTCGGACCTTAGGTGGTGGTCCAGCGGAGCTCAGAGCCTCAGGTGATGGTCCGATGGAACTCAGGACCTTAGATGGTGATCTGGCGGAGCTTAGGGCCTCAAGTGGTGGTTTGAAGAAACTCTTGGCAGTGGTCAAGGAGGCAAGGAGACAAGAACGATCTCCGACCTCTCTATTTTCTCCTTAAGTTTTGGGGTCTATTTCCAAAAGGAAAGGGGACTCTATTTATAGATTTCTTGGAGTGGTATGACCTATAAATAGGTGGAAGATCAAGGGTAAATGGGGAGTGGTTTGCATGGACGATTGATATTGAATCCCTTGATCGTGGACCGTTTGATGGATATTTGAATGTCTTAGTGATATTAGAATTTAGTGATGTTGGGCTCGTTGGATTCATCTCGTCGAGCCGCTCGATTCGATTATAAGCATGTCACATTTGAAAACCGTTTAGTAATCCAAATTGTGATTTTAACTTTCCAACACTGCTTCGGGGCTTGATTTGGACTCATTCGGGCTCAGATAGAGTCAAATTTAGTGTCGTTGGGTTCGTATTTTCGAGATATTCAATTCGACTGTAAGTTTGCTGAAATCGGAGTTCGAATGGTCCTAACTTTAATTTTAGAAGTTTCCACCTTTTGATTTTGCCAAGTGTAGTTTCAAAAAAGTTTTTTCAAATATGCTTTTTAAAGACATAGGCTTAGTTTGGGATGGTTTTCTTTATATTTCTTAAAATATTTTTTTAACACAAAATTTTTAATTTTTTTACTAAGTAGATGCTTTAAGAAGCAATAAGAAAGTCGTTCAAAACGAAGCCATAGATTTGAAATAGCAATAAAAAATATCTTCTAAATATACATTATTTTCTTACTAATTATTTTTATTATCATGAAAGTGTCAATAATCTGTTCCAAATAAAGTTTAAGGATATGCTTGGGATATTTTTATTTTATGCTTTGTTGGTAGACAATTATTATAATTTTATTTGACTATTATTTTTTTTACTATTT